AACCACTACAAGATAATTCAAACTATTTTTAGCCAGTGATAACAAAATACTTGGAAAAAATCAGAAAGGGAACCCTGATCACAGCATACTGACACTGCAAGGACATTTTAAGTCAATTTTAGTTTGACAACCTACCTTCTTACAGAAAACATAATACTGAGAACCAAGCTGTGAATAAGTTTATCTACACCAAGCAGCAAGATAAGACCTAAATCAAGAGCAGTACGTATTAAGACTTAAAAATGAATGGCCTGCACAAGGTTGTGAGCACAATGAAAGCACCTACTTCCCATTCAGAAACACAATGGTGTTCATGGGTGTAAAGCAGACACCCCTGCGGAACTGTGCCCGTTTATGTCCTTTATTACCTACTTCTCTTTGACCTCTATCCAGTTCCAGTCAATCATACATCATTTACTCAAAAGTGACTTGTGTTAAAATACAACAAGATCAGAGAGAGCACAGTGTTTTCTGCCTTTGTGGCTCCATGCTACAGTGCAAACTGCTTTAAAGCTCACATACCGCAAGCACATGGATCCTTCAAGGCTGTCTTGCTGCTGTCTTTGCTGTTTGCTGTCTCGCCTTCCCGGGCAAGATCAACGGGCACTGATGCTGGGATGTCATCCGTCTTGCTAACCATGATTCGTTTCCCAGAATGCTAGTTTGGTTTCAGAGTTAGCAACAGATGTCCGTTGCTGAGAGCTGTGATGTGGGTCTGTTGAAGGGCCTTCCGTCAGACGGAATGGCTAGTTACATCCAAAGATATTACAAAAACAACTTGACTTGAGAAGGACAATTCTCAACTCAGCCTGGCTGTCACACGTGGTTTCTCCTCCTCTTGACCTGCTTGCCTTTGTATTTGTCCCACCCACCAAACACACGGCTACGGCAACCCTATAGCTCCATTTGGAGAAGCGCGTTTTACTCTTTCTTTTACTGTCTATGGTTTTACTGCCTCAGTTTATGTTGGGTGTTTATTTCGTCCTTTATTTGACCCAATTTAATAAAAATGTTAGGTAAGATAAATATAAAATTCCTGTCCAAATTCAGGAGAAATAATTCAGCACAATAGGCCTACATCCAAAATAGTAATGGTAAGTGCGACTTACTTTCGAGATTCAGTTCTTTCGAGCTCTTAATTTCAAAGACCGGGTTAAAAAAACAGTAGGTTACGAATTTTACGTCATTTCTCAAACTCATTGTGGTTTAAACTATGGTTTAATATATTTATATTTATTTTACGTAACAATCATTACGTAACATTAAATATATATAACAAAATACATAAATTAATTTTTTTTTCAGTATTGTAAACCCAATCCTTTTAGTTGTTTTATCTTTTGTATGTCTTTTTAGTTATAGCTGTAAATGTTTTATATTATGTTTAATGTCTAATAAAAAATATAGGCCTATTTAATGGAATACAAATGTGAATTTCTTAAGACTTGACATGGAGACAAACTAAACTACTTTTCTTTTATTGTATGCACTCAAAGATTTTTTTGGGAATATGTTATTGGTTCGAAATAAAGGTCTCATCACTGCCTACTTTTTAGAAACCATTGTATTTGGAATGTTGACAAAATGCGGAATTTCCTCAGTAATGTAGTGTTTGTTCTTTGTAATTTTTATTTATAAACGTAAGTGTATGAACTGAAGATAAAACATAATTTCTCTGTATTTTGTTTGTAACTATTTTCCATCATATAAATATATCAAGAGTAAAAAGGCCTGCAAAATTGCTGGCATAAAATGATGAGACTAATTTATTGGAAGATGGATAAAAAGGCTGCACTTATATTATTGGTGTATACATTGATTAATTTTTTACTTATTTATTTATTTTTATGTATGTATAAATTCCATTATAAATGTATTTTTTGTTACATCACACACACACACACTAAGACAGACAGACAGACAGACAGACAGACAGACAGACAGATAGATAGATAGATAGATAGATAGATAGATAGATAGATAGATAGATAGATAGATAGATAGATAGATAGATAGATAGATAGATAGATAGATAGATAGATAGATAGATAGATAGATAGATATGGCATAATATTCTTGTTCTACTTCCAATAAAGTAAAAAAAGTAAAAGTTTCTTTTATTGTTTAGTTTTACTAATAAGGGTCTTTATTGTAATCTCATGTGTCCCATTTTGCTTTGTTTGCAGCCATTATTCAGACATTTAGGAAATGTCGTCTGGGAAATGTTTTTAATTAAAGGTATTTATTTTTTTAAAAAAAACACTGTTAAAAATACTAAAAAATCTGTTTAAAAACGGTTTTAAAAAACACAAATATTTCCAGTATATTTTATTTGTAACATTTCTGCTATGATTAAGATGTAAGTGTTAAGGAAATTAACAACATCTGCAACAATACAATTGTTATTCTCTAAAGTTGACATCAACTAACCATGATTAAGGTTGCAATTACTGTAACACAGTAATTTAATAAACCCATTTAATCATATGTAAACAGTGGATTATTTATTGCGACACATTTTCAGTCGACAGGTTGCACAATGTTGGGTCGCTCATAAGAGATTTGAAGTACTGTGTGTACATTTCAAGACTTTCCAAATGTTTGTGAAACAGCACACTATACTATTGGCCAAACATGCAAATACAGTGTGTGAACATTGCTGCATAATAATCACTTATTTCCCTGTCATATACCTGTCATTCTTAAAAACAGGACAAACGAAAAAGAAGTTTTAAAACCTTTATCATATAACAGTCAGACTGTTAAAGGGAAGACTTTATTCCACACTTAAGGATAGAAAAAATCCAAATAAAATCACCATAAAACCCTCGGTAAGCACAATGTTAACCGCATGGAAGTGGGGACAACAAAATAACATAAGAACTATCAGATATTGCATTTACTGTATCTATGGATTATTGTTTCCAATTTAACACAATGTTCAAATATCTATGCTGTAAATATGATTATATAGAAGTCATCATGTGCGGCAGTATTGCTTCTCTTTTTAACATCACAATGGTATTATAAAGAGCTAAAAAATTATTTAGACAATTAATCACTTCATAATGTTACCAAGATGAAACATTAAATGAAAAACAAAAAAAATAATTAATTAACTAACTAATGTGATTATATCATGTATCACAGTCTAAATCAACCTAATGTCCTAAATCGTTCCTATGTCTGCACTGATACAATACAAAAACTGGTTATAGGCCTTTTAAATAGTCAGGCATATGCGTATACATTTACAAAATAAGATTTCAGACCCTGAGTGAAGCAAATATCACTTTGTTAGGGCTGTGTCAAATTAGACACAATTTTAAGCTGAAAGGAAAACATTTTATGCATTCAGTTACAATCCCTATTCAAACTGCTTTTCATATTTGGATTTTTAACAAACTTATATTCAACATTACAAGCAAAATTACCATTCTGATCTAATAAAGCAAAGAGAAATATCACATATACAACTGTAAATATCTGTTTAGAAAAGCTCCGTTTGCAAATAGGTGGTACTAAACCACCTTTACTGTCATGTTTCAGCAGAATTACAGTCTTCATTGCGGGCTGTGACACTATGGTAGCCTACTCATTAGACCCCATTATTCAAATTATTAGTGTCTGTTAATTGTCAAGAAAGGTAATGTTGTCTGTCACTCCCATTCAATCCATTTCCATGGACTAACCCTCTCTTAGTTATACATCCAAGTGCAGGAGTTTTGTACCACACCACATCACTTCTAATCTTGCATCTTATGAATTTACAAGCTTTTGTGTGATACAAACAGTTAATATGTTTGTTTAATACGTATCACATATTAATCATCATATCACCAAAGCTCGGTATATGCACATACACCTGACCTCACAGAATTATAAAACCGGATTGTGATTCGAATGAAACGTCTGCAATATCTGCAACATCCCACTGAAATATTACAGCATAAGCAGCAGCATAAAACCAATCAGTCCTCTGGGCATCACTGGCTCATTTAATGATGCCAGAACAATGGCGCGTTGACCCTCGACCCCACTCTCTTCTAATCAACAAGCCCACGCATAAACACACTATATACCAGATAAAGCACTTAAGCAAATGATTCAGGCTGTACAGCCTACAGACCTCATTCACACAGGATTTCTCTAACTGAACCAGTATGTATCCGCATAAAGCATCAGGAAGGATGAGAGAGTGCACTTGTGGTGACATCAGATAACCTGATCATTCAGAAATATCTGCGCTGAGGCATTCCACAACAAGGGAATAGATTAAAACCAGTTGAACAAAGACTCAGCAGCAGAAACCGGTTCACAAGGACACGTTTCGCACATCATGCGTCTGCAGTGAATAAACAGCAGGGTCATGCTTTCACACTGACAGTGCTTCGCTAGCTCTATACAGAAATTGAAGTGGTTTATGGGTTACAACATTGCATATTTCTTATCTAATAAAAAACGTGATTTCGCTTGTGCAATTGAGAATAATTCCTTTAAATTAGGAGGGGACGGCATTTGAATAGTATTTACATGTATTCAAACACCTTTGTGTAACAATGATATCCATTCCAAACAGCAATATTTAATGTTTTGCGCTGTGCATGAACATTTTGTTTCCGGATATTAACTGAATTGCATTCTAATGCGTCTCCAGTGTGATCAAATTTCAGATCACATTTACATGCGCAAAATGCAAATCGCCCCATTATTATTAGATAATAGAGTACATTAACTAATTTTTTTCTGTCAGCTATAGAATTTGCTTTATCATCACATTATCCTGATGTGAACACAGAGGATATAATAATATAATATGAAGTGTAATGCAGCTTACATAAGACTACACGATTTTATTCCTGGTTTTCCAGTCGCCAACAGTGAATTGAAATCGCTGACGAAATCAGAGGCAAATAGGTGCTCGTGCACGTGAGTGACGATGGCTATATGCGTGAATTTTCAAATAGGCTACGCGATCTTGAGAGAAGCAGGTTAATGAAAATTCACCTTTTTATTTTGTAAATGCATGTTATAAATCTTATTGTGACTGATTCATCTATGTAAATGATTATTATTAGCCTATTGTATTTATGTAGTGTGAAATATAATAGCAATATAATGTGTGGGTGGCATAAATGTCAGTGTGAATGCTGTAACCTCTTAATATTGCAAGCGAAAAAACTACACGCTGCAGATGCAGGATGCATGAAACGGTATTGAGGACCGTGGGTTATTTTTGATTACAAAAATGCTTTACAGCAACATAAACATCAATTTTGGTTTAACAAGAGCGTAAGCAAGAATCTCTCCTCTGTCTATTCATCACTGCATGTGCAAACTGTGTATAAAAAAAAAAAAAAAAAACCTAGCTGTATTGCAAATATAAACAATTCTGTCACTGTCATAATGCAAAAGGGCTCAAGGTGCAATTCAGGGGAAAATATCATAAAAACGAGTAGGTTGTTGAGGTGACCTGTAAGAGAAACGCTCATTCAGCGTTGTTCTCTGTAGTGGATGCCGTGGTCGCAGTGGCTTTAGCTACTGTTGTTGCCAGTCTGCTCACTGAAGCTCCCTGATCGAGCTCCTCCGCCTCCTCCCCGTCTGCCTCCTGCAGGGCGAGTCTGTGTGGTGGACGGGGCCGGGATCTGTGTCTGTATGGGTACAGGAAGAGGGCGGGGTCAGGCATGGCCATGGGCTCCTCCGGGCCCGTCACCCTCTCGCGCGGCACGCACTCCCTGGCACGCTCGATGTGGAGGTGGGAGGAGGGCCGGCTCGAGCTCCGCCGTTTGGGTTTGATCACTGTTGGGCTGCTAGCGCTGGCCTGAGGTGAAGGGTGGACGGGGGGCTTGTCCGTGCCGAGCTGGGCCGGCCTCCTTCGCTGCTGCTGCCTCTGCTGCGCGAGTTTCTGCTTTGCTGAATAAAGCTGGAAGGACAGGTATGCAGCCGCCTCTGTCTGCTGCTGGAGCTCGGTGTTGAGCACAGTGGTCCTGTGGCTGCGGTGTTTTAATTCATCCAGGAAACGTCGCTCCTTCTCCTTCAGACTGGCACGGAGAGCGCCCACCAGCACTGACTTCTGGCTCAGCTCCCATCTCAGATCACTCTGGACCTCCTGCTGGTCCTGCAGATGCTCCTCCACCTCCTGACAATGGGCTTCCAGCTGCTTCTCTTCCTCCTGCACATCTGGAACACATATAGAACAGAAACTTTTGTCGTAAAAACTCGATTCAGTGGTTCTGTGAACCAAGTTTAAGCACTGTGTGAATTATACCACGACATTCAGGAAATTTTCTAAAGGTTATTTTCATGGGATTGTCTGAAGTTTGTCTCGCACAACTTAAACTGTCTTTAGACGCTCCAAGCTAAATTAGTCAGCATCAACTGACAATCTTAAAAACGTTTAGGATAAAATCATTTTTAAAAATCACATCATTCATTTTAAATAAAAATCTTTTGTAACATCATAAATGTCACTTTTGATCAATTTAATGCATGCTTGCTGAATATAAATAATAATATATGTTTTTTTTTTTTTAAATCTTACTGACCCCAAACTTTTGATTGGTAGTGTACGAGTAATTAAAATGTTTGGTATATACATATGGCCGGTTTCACAGACTGGGTTTAGCTTGTCCCAGACTAAAATGCATGTTTGTGCTGTTTTAACTGAAAGCAAATTGCAGTGACATTTCTTAAAATGTGTCAGAGCCATTGTTTTGTCTCAAGATGCACACCAGTAATGTTTTTTTCTAAGGCATGTTTATAAAATCTATAAATGCCCCAATTGAACTAAAACCTAATCCTGGCTTAATCTAAGCCCTGTCTGTGAAACCGGACCGTACTTTTGAAAAGTCCAACTTTTTGTTTGGTGGGTTCAAGCCTTAAATAGAGGATCAAAACCTCCTGTAATTCATACATCTTAGAGTTTCACATTTTACGTGCAGAAGCTTCATCACACACTTCTGCTGCTGAAATGAGTGTATGATCTCATGTATGATCCACCTTGTGATATGAAACAGACATGTCTAATATGAACAAGCCCCTGCGTTTAAAATCAGATTTTAGCCGTAAAAGCGAATTTGTAACTAATCTGAGATCTAAAAGGTAAGTGGATGTGGTTGAGGAAAGCAGACAAAGAGCTCTTCTGTGCCCAAGGATTACAGACTCACTGAGTAAATCCAAATCAACTAATCTCAACTCTGGTCTGGCTACTGGCAGTGTTGCCATCTGTTCAAGGTTATCAGACACATTAAATGTCTAGGACAAGACCTCCCAGAGCATGCTTGACTACTGTGCCCACAAAGCAGAGAGCAAATGTGAAGTGAATTGCTTCCACACACACACACACACACACACAAAAAGACATACTAAGAAACTATTTTATTGGCAGAAATGACAAATTATACATCTATATGATCAATGGTCAAACTGCAAGGTGAATTCATCATTGGTATTTTCATCTTTTCCTAAATATTAAAATAAACTAAACTAAAATTCTGCAATTACCCCTTCAATACTTCATGGAAATGTGACATGCTATCACTGTTTGTTTTGTGTTCTGCTTTAGATTATTTGCATCTTGTATTTTTCTAATTTGTAAGTCGCTTTAGAAAAAAAAGCATCTACTAAATACATGTAAATGTATATTGCACTATTACCTTACATCACTCCCACATTAGTAAAAATGACATATCATTTACAGTATATAGTGTCAGATATGAGTAGGAAAATGTGCCATAGAATTAGACAGAAGCATGGAAGAGCAGCTGGCGTATGGCATGTCATTTATTACAATCAGAGCCGGACAGGGTACAGAGCTTTGTTACTTGAGTAAAAGTACAGATACCCCTTGCTAAATTTTACTCAAGTACAAGTAAAAGTACTACATTCAGATGTCTACTTAAGTAAAAGTACTAAAGTACTTGTTTTTAAAAGTACTTGAGTATCAAGAGTACAAGAGTAGATTTTCTAAATATTGCATTACTAATCTACTGCCACAGTGCTTACATTTATGCACAGAAACGTCCTACATGGAGTTATGAAAAATGTTAATGTTAATACCTTGGAGAATGTAAAAGGAATTGAAAGTAAAATCAAGTCATTTTCATCTTTTTACCATGTTGCTTTATTTAATTTAATTCAATTTTTGGGGAGTCCCATCTTTAAATGCGGGGACAACACACACACACACACACACACACCACATGTAAGGGTGGCGCTGCCAATAAAGCACCTAAAAGCTGTCACAAAGAACCGGCAAAAGGAATGATTATGAATATGTAAAATATAGCAAGGAGAAATTTTAATTGTTTATTAATAAACACTTGTTAATAAACAAGTGTTTTCTTTGTCAGTGTCGGCTAGATGAAGTTGATGATGCTGACTCGCGATCTTCAGTAGTGAACGCGGCAGAGAGAAATGCATATTTCATACGGATGACATAAGCAGAGAGCAGTCTGTAGTCTGTTTTCTTTCGTTTTGAATTTTTCTGTTTAAAAGTAGACATGTCTGTGAGAGGCAAGTAGGCTACCTTATACACTGAGTTTCGGTTCATTTATGAGACGAGATCCAGTTCACGTGCCGGCGCCTCCGTTTCTTATCTATCGTCTGCTATTTACTTCTTATTTATTAAACCCAGGCAATTGGTTGATGAAACGTTGATTAAAATTAAGATACAATTAATGCAAAACGAAATTCAGGTTAAAGAAAGGTTTTGTGTTTTCTGTTTGATGTCTCTGTGAAAGTTTTAAAGCATTTTTTATGCCGCTTTCAGAGCGCTCACGTCCGTAACGGAGAACACGTCCATAACATTGTTTTTTCCTCATAAATGCAAACCCGAAAAATAAAATAAAACTAAATTAATATTTTATGTACTGTGGAGACTGAGCGCCAACCCTTCTTCATTCGCTGGGTAGTAGCCTACTTTGGTTTGCGCAGTGTAATTCACATAATCAGTAAAAATATATTTTGCCTCCTAAAGTTTTTTTTTTAAGAAATCAGAAATCCCTCGTGGCTACGCCACTGCCACATTTGAACCTGACTGTGTTAAACACACCACATACTCAAGAACATCAAACCAAATGCTTGGCTTACATTAATGTGTAATATAAAATCTGACCATGGAGTTGACTTTGGCGGAAAGCTGAAAGTGATTGCTGATAGGCTGTCCCAATCAGTGGCGCCTGCACAATCCAATCACGTTTGAGAGGGAAACAACAAATTGAGGGTGTCCGAGATTTTTCTTTTTTTTTTACTTTTTTTTTTTTACTCGGGTACTCACGGTTATGGATAGAAATGTATTGGAGTAAAGAGTACAATATTTGCCTCTCAAATGTACTTGAGTAAAGTCATAAGTACTCCCCAAAAATGATACTCGAGTAAAGTACAGATCCCTCAAAATTGTACTTAAGTACTGTACTCAAGTAAATGTACTCCGTTACTGTCCGGCTCTGATTACAATCAAACAAATGAAGGATAAAACAGTTTTTCAAGTGTCTTTACGCTTATATGAATGTAATGTGTTTCAGATAAATTGCAGGCTAAGTAGACTGAAAAGGAATTATGTAATCGGTGTCCTTCAAATTATCCACACAAACTTAATGACCTCGTGCTGAGTTCAACATCTTTCTATAAATATTGTCTCCCGTGCTCTCCTTTATTTTACTGCAACTAGCACAATTCTGTCTCTCAATTTGTCCAGATTGTCCCGATTTCACAGTCAGCCTATCAGCCTCACCCATGCGTCCAGACTGAGATGAGCTCATGAATATAGAAAATGCTGTGTTATCTGATCCTTAAATCTGATCTCTCTACTGTTTCTCAATGAGTTCACTCTTTGCTGCCTCTGACCCTTTTAATAGAATATGTAATGAAACTGAGATGTCGACAACCATCAGTTGACAAAGACATTAGAGCAGATAAGAAGTGATAGACAAAAAAAAAAAAAAAAGATAAGTATTGTACATTTAATACTCACATTGCGCCAGCAATATGCTTGTAAATTAGAAAATCATTTTCACTATCAATCAGTGTTTGGTTCCTCTGGGGCTTCTTTGAAGAATTCTCTCAAAGTTATGAACAAACGATTTTTCCAGTAACAAATAGAATGTTTGTTTAAATTTATCTGGTCTTTAATAATGTTCTCAAAACGTTAGGACAAAAACATTATTTATACATTGTTCACAGAGTTGTTGTTTTTCCTGAAACACGTTAGTTGGACATTCATCATTTTTAAAATGACTACTTAATTTTTAAAATGTTAGAAGATTCAAAAGTAACATTCCCAAAATATTTCCAAAATGATAAAAAGGAATGTTCCGTTAACGTTCACATAACCAAGAACATTTTTAAAAAAATGTTCAATAAACTGGACATTTAAAACGATGAGAGACCATTCTGAAATAATGTTTTCATAACATTATTTCATAACTTAATGGGAACGTTAGCAAAAAAATAATTGTTAGCTGGGTATGTGTTGCTAAGTGACTGGAAGGTTGAACAAAAGGTCTACTTTTGTTTGGAATTATTTTCGTTGGCAGAGCACAAATACCTAAAGTAAATTGTAATATTATGTCTTAAATGTAAGTTACACAATATTGACTTCTTGTTTATTGATATCTTATATGAAAGCAATATCACACTCACAATCTTGCTGCTGGAAACTTCACAATAGGCCATTTTACTGACAACAGCTTTGTTGGAGTAGAGAAGACATTCAAATAAAGGTGTTAAGTTAATGTATATATTGCTGAATATAAGTATTAGTATCTTTAAAAGAAACTGTTACTGTCCCCAAACCTTTGGATGGTATAATGTGTTATGTTCATACTGTGGTATTTGAATTAGATAACTGATTACATGTTTACTAAATAATTAGTAATATGTAAAAATACATGTTAAAACTTATGATTATAATTTAGAAATCTCTTTTTTTTCTCTCTCTCTCTCCTATACTCAGCTTTCTTTTGCTATTCCTCTCTGTCTCCTTGCCCGACTTTGTCTCAGCAAAATAACATGCAGTAATTGGACACCCCCACTGGGACTGTGCAGCAAAAGCAGAGGATCGATTTGTGGGTGGATGAGGCTGCGTCGGGCTGGAGGAGAGAGGGATGGCCTGCAGTATGAAGAGGAGTCTTCTGCTTAACAATGATGCCTCTTGATGTGAAAGTGACTAGTTTTAGATCAATTATTATTACAATCATAAGACACAGTCATTAAACACACTATATGTGCCTTGTTGAGGCTAATCACTTCAATTCAGCCAATTACATGATATCGTAACAACAAAAGAAGTGTTGAGTGCATCATTTTATTTATTATCAGTCAATATGATCCTTTCATGCTCGCTAGAGTCTTTCAAATGTGATCTAGTAATAACAGATACCAAAATATATATGCAGATAGTCAATATACTAGATGCTGTTGTATTAAATAGACCTACTGCTGTTGTTCTTGTTGCTTTGTACAACTGAACACATTTGCTAAAAATACATAAGTAACTCTGCTCACAAATAAATGAAACAACTTTTTTTTTTGGAAGGCAACAGAGCTCACCTGCTACGCTCCTGCCTGGGGGCTTCATGTTGAGTTCTTGTGTGAGTTCTGCAAGTAATAAACAGATGCAATGTTAATTCTGAGCTATTTTTTTATTCTTTATTTTGTATTCTGCATTTTAAAACTGACACATTCCCGAATCATTATAAATCATGTCATAAGTCTTGCATGATCCATTATCCAATTAATTGTTATTAGATTAAATGTCCCGCCCTACATTTTACATTTTATTATATTTCATTCAAAGCAATAATAAGTCAAATAAAGCAATAATAAAGCTCAGTTTATTTATTAAATCATTATAGACTCATGTTCAAACACTGTTCAAAAGTGAGATCAGTAAGATTTTATTCAGCAATGATTAAATTGATCAAAAGTGACAGTAAAGACATTTATAATGTTTCAAAATATTTATATTCCAAATAAATGCTGTTCTTTTGATACACTGGAGTAATGGCTTCTGAAATGTTGATATTACTGGAGTAATGGCTTCTGAAAATTTATTTTAAAATAGTTTTATTTCACAAAATTACAGTTTTCACTGAATTTTTACCAAATAAAGGCTGCCTTGGTGAGCATAAGATACTTCTTTGAAAACATTTTAAAAAAAATCTTACCCCACACCTTTTAATGGTAAGTTATACATCAAAGGGTATCAAGAGAAAAACTGATTTCCTGTGGTTATGAATTAGAATGATTGGTTAGAAGAGCAGAAAAGCAAAGGGATGAATATGCAATGTGCTGCTTTTTCGGCCCTAGCTGGCTCAGCACATTTACAGCAATGTTCAGGTAGAAAGGCCGTGTACTATATTACTGAGAGGGAAAACACAAGCCCTGCACTGACAGGAAGCTATTGACCTGTGGTCCTCTCTGTGGAGCTTGTGCCATCAAAGAGAGCAACGTAACCCTGCTCTTCTCTGCAGAGGATCCTGGCTTTATGCATTCAGGGCATTGTCTATGCATTTAGATTGTGTGCCAACATTATTTTTGGAACAACATCCAATTATGTGTAATTTATGATAAATGAAATGTCGCTCAATTCAATTATGCATGTTATTTAATGTATGCAAACTTAAATTAAAATGCAGGAGACTGTACAGTGGGAATGGTCTTGACACACACCTGTGCAGCGTTTCTGGAGGGACAGGATCTCCAGGTGTAGTCCGTGCAGCAGAGACAGCTGTTCCTGTCTAAGGAAGACAATGCTCCTCTCCACACCCTCCACCTGGCGCTCCAGCGAGACCACCGGTGATCCCTTTACCGTACAAAACACAGGGATATTTATTTACAGTATATAATAGTACATTCCAGTCCTCTAATCTAAATTCCCAGCGTTCTGAGAGTACTGACATTTAGTACAAAACTGGGACTCTCCACTGTTTAAATCAGAGCTTCTGTCTTTTTTTCTCACTCCATAATGCTCTCATCAGTGAGGAAATAAAAGGGGTGCAGGGATGACATATTTTGTAGACCAAAACCAGGAAACGAGTTAGCATTTTAGCACCTCTGGTTCCATCGTCTTGAAGTCAAGGGGTGTTTCTCAAGTGGAAGGCTGCATCCTTTTGAGACTGTGTCCTTCCTAGTTCAGTCCTTCTGAGGCTTGTAGGCTAGAGTCCTCCTCAGCAATTAAATGCTAGAATGAGACGGTCTAAGAGCGCATGACTACGTCACTACGCACGAAAATACTATTAAAACCTAATTTGGGATAAATGCTTTGTATTACAAATCTTTATATTAACTGGCTTTCTATTAACTGGCTTTCTATTAATGCAATACAGTGAACGACAGCCATCTGCGGTCTCCCAGTGGCTTACAATATAGGCAGTTTAGTGTTCGTGATTAATTTACAGCAAAACAAATCATTACATCTATATGCTTTTATGTCCAAAAACATTATTTTTGTCTTACATTTAATAATAAACTCAGACAAGCTCAATACCGACCTGTTTTCTCTCCGTTTATTTTTATGAATTTAAATGTGAGCAAAGGATTGTGGGTGATTGAGATGGCCTTCAGCGATGTTTGATGACATGGCAGTTGAGATATGCAGCCTTCCGTTTGAGAAACACCCAATGAGTTTTGAATGGGTTTTCGTGTTTTGTTAATTGGACTTTTATTGTGTATTTTACCCTGTGTCTGTTGCTGTTTCTTGTCCTGTGTGCCATTTTTTTTATAGTCCTTTGAAGTTTTTCTAGTTGATTAGTTCTGTGATGATTGTCCAGGTGTGTTTCCCTAGGAATTATACCCCAGTGTTTCTTGCATTCCTTGTTCTTGTGTCTTGTGCATAGATGTTTTGATGGGGTGCTCATTCCGTTTCCCTGGTTTTCTAGTTCCCGTGTTTGTTTTGTTATATTCTGTTAAATAAAATAACTGGATTTGGATCCAGCTCTCCTTTGTTTTTGAGTTTTGAGTGTGGTGAACACAAGCTCAAGATATTTTCACTTTATATTCTACGACACATATTACGTAAGGAATAATTGCTCTGTACCGAATAAAACGCTCTTGTGTGTAGGACTAATTTCTAACTAATTTCCCACGCCTCCGTTGCTAATTCCAAAACATCATTTTAGAGCAAGTAACTGAAGCTTGAGACATTGATAGCAGAATAATGCAGTAATTAATGAAGTTAGAGAGAAAGGGATTAAGCGTATTACCGGAGTCTGTGCGTCACTTAACAGTGTTCTGCAGCAGCGTCTCTACTATTAGCGAAACTGTAAGTTTATCGGCTTCATGAACAGCGCCGTTATTACCTCTCTCTTGAGAAATGTCATGTAGCTTTTAATTTGCTGAACTATTTTACTGATAAAATCGTCAGAGCAGCACTGACAACATGTTTCTGTGAGAGTGTGTACCCATACTGTATGTGTGTGCGTTTGAGTGGAGAGAGAGCGGGAGAAAGAGAGTATGTGCTTTCCATACATAATAAAATGTAATTTTGTCTCAAAAACATGGAAATAATTTGTAATTTTTATCCTATAGTTTACTTGCTTGGTTTTGCTGTTGTAGGTTTTAATGACCTTTGAAATAACTGTAATCATTTGGCGAAGTGATATGGAAATGTAATGCGGTCAAGACGTGCCTGGAACTACTTTAGCCGTGCGTACTTTAGCCGTGCGTATCTGAAAATAATTGCACACCTTAGAACGTTCGTCAACCAATCATATTCAAGCATTCATCAGCCCCATATAAATCAGTAATATCCTCTTGTTTACTTGTCTTGTAAAGGCGGTAGCTAAAAGTGGCTAAATGGGACTACAGAGTTTGTCCGGGACATTAAACATCATCATCCGAACAGGTAAACTCATCTACTCACCAGTTCACTTTCACAGCCTCGTTGTGTTTATAATCGTGCTCTTGCAAACTATTATAACTCTAACTTTCAGGGAAAATGTTTATAAGCAAAGATTGAAAGAGTTGTCTGAAGTTAAGTGATGGTGGCGTTGAAGTCATACGACTATATGGTATAATTTGTTTATAGCCAAACATTAGCTTTTGACTTCTGAAGATTGTATTATGTTTCAAAATTTGTGAAGATTATCACGATAAACAAAATGCGTAAGAATCATACGCTTGTATTAGTCACACAGACCTACTTTCTGCAATAATCCAAAAGCCAATGGAAAAATCCTATTGGGTTTTTGTCGAAAGGAGCAGGGTGATGCTAATTTCCTACAAAAATAGGCTACATCATCCCTGCACCACTCTATTGAAAACCTGGATTACAGAACATTTTGAAAATATTTTGTGTGGATATTCACTACAACATATGAGAGAAGAATGTTGTCCCGGGCCCGTAATAAGAGGTCTAGCATAGGTCTACTCTCTTGCACCCATATTTGGTCACGGGCCCCATGAATTTACATACACTAGGGTCAGAAATGAATGAAGACTTGGTGCAAAATCCCACCAAATTTTACGAAACTACCCATGAAATTCAAAATGTGGTACAAAATTCTGCAATATCTGATATCCTAATGATTTATTTTACATTATTTTACATCAAAGGTATGATTAGAAAACATGTCCTCCCCTCAAAAAGCTTAAAATAAGGCCCTTAAAAAGAATGACTGAATTTCAGAATAGTTCTGTGTACCTGCTGACCTGACCCTTAAATGGTTGGTCTGACCTAATGTAGCCTAGGTTGATTCATTCATAATATTTTTGACTTGAATTATACCAATTTTATTGATGCATTTTATTTAAAATAGAGTGCATTTTAAGAGCACACAAGCACAGATGAACAAAATATTTTAACAAATAGGTCTATTATTAGGCCACTATTATATCACTGACAAAAGATATTACATTTTTATTAGTTTACTTGATAATTTGAACATTTTGTTTTGACGTAATCTTTGTGTGATGATGTAAAATAAAACTTCTGAGCGTTATTCTGCATAAACACCCAGCGAGGTTATTAAAAACATTTAATGTCGATTGCTCGCAGATACCAATACAACTAGGCTACATCGTAAAACATAAATGTCAATCAGCTAAATAGTCATTCTTTCTCATATAGGCTACATAACAATAAAAGCCTTAGGCTTAGATAACACTGCGCATAATATTACAGCACTCACCGTGTTTTCCATATTAGTATCCAACAGATGAGGCGTTATAATGAAGAGGATGAACGTGCTCCTTCACTTCCACATCTCTGCCCTTCAACGAACCGACCCATGAACATACAGGATGACGACATCTTTAAAGAAGATCAATACACATCTCAATGGGAGAATAAAACACGGATCTGCCACAGAGTAACGGCAGAGGTTTCGCGAGAACGACGAAATTTCAATCCTTCACAATCTTGGCGAAAGTAATTGCTTTATCCGACAATGTCACGATCGATTAAAAGTGATCCCGGCGTTTAGCTGGCACAAGCGTGTTCGTCTGTCCTGCATCTGAACAGCATCATCATCATCGCGATGACAGACAGCAGGAAGAGGCTCCTTCAGTACCAGGGCAATGATGCAACTGATGAAGGAAACATAACGATGCTCTGAGGAAACTCCACTGCAGATCCGATCATCTCACGCGCGCATCTAACAACACATTAAGCTAATTAAGGCGCATTATGTATTAAAAATATCTAAACTAATGTCTAATTTAGCACAGCTGAATTAGCTACAACAGTTAGTTTCAGTCCTCGAATTTGATTGGCCGAGCAGCGTTTCAAGAGCACTAATTACCATAGCAAATGGGACGTTTCGCAGTTTGAATGAATCACTCGAGGCAGAGACAGATTATTTGGCTTTTGCCATTTTATTTTTTGTTTATTCATATTTTATTATTTGCATTGTTTATTGTTAAAGAGTATCTGTGGCTTCCCGCTAGCTTCCCCCTGCCACGCAGAGATTTTACCCTACTGTATTTGCGTTGTGAAAGAGGAGTGGAGTTATTTTGTATGGTGCAAGGAGCGTTTGGTGGTTTTTCTCGCTCCAGATTGTATTATTTACTATTCCCTACAGTGGATGTCTTATATTCCACCACATTAGAAAGAACTGAGCAAAATTTAGTGTACGAATGTAAATATCGTGCGCTGGGGAGGCGAATCTTTCATTTGAAGGCCACGTTTTATAGCATCTGTAAAACCACATTCTTCCATCTTAAAAATATATCTAAATTATGACATGCTTTCAATGAAAAATGGGGAACAGTTAGTTAATGTGTTCATGACCTCAAGGCTAGATTATTGTAATGCTCTACTGGGTGGTTGCCCTGCACGCTTAATAAACAAACTCCAGTTGGTCCAAACGCAGCAGCTAGAGTTCTCACTAGAACCAGAAAGTATGACCATTAGCCCGGTTCTGTCAACACTGCATTGGCTCCCTATTAAACATCGTATACATTTTTAAATATTGCTGACTACTTACAAAGCATTAAATGGTTTTAGCTCCCCAGTACTTGAGCGAGGTCTTAACGCATTATAGTCCTTCAAGTCTACTGCGATCTCAAAATTCTGGCCAGTTGATAATACCTAGAATATCAAAAATCAACTGCAGGCGGTAGATCCTTCTCCTATTTAGCACCTAAACTTTGGAACAGTCTTCCTAACATTGTCTGGGAAGCAGACACACTCTGTCAGTTTAAATATAGACTAAAAACGCATCTCTTTTACCTGGCATTCATATAGAACAACATTATACATTTCTATTTTCCAAATCAGTTAAATTATTATTAGGCTGCATAGATTAGGTAAGCTGGAACCGGGAATACTTCCTATAACACCTGATGTACTCGTTACATCATAAGAAGAATGGCATCTACGCTAATGTTAGTCTTTCTGTTTATTCCGAGGTTTACTGAAGTCAGCCGGATCCGGGCCATATCCAGATCAGATGGTGGACCTGCACCTGGACCAATCCACAACATATCCCTGAAGTGCCAGACTCATCAGCCCTGTGAAGGCCTCATCGACACGACAGCCATCAGCACTGATCCTCAACAAACTCGTCTCCATACCGGCGTGATGACTCCGACTTCCAAAGATGGAACTGGATAATATTCTGAATGTTCTGATCCAATCTGACTTCTGACCTGTAATGCTGGCTGAATCTTAATCATACACTGTTCGTTTGTTGGCCAGAGGAGAACTGGCCCCCGCCCCGACTGAGCTTGGGTTCTCCCAAGGTTTTTTCCTCCATTCTGTCACCTGATGGAGTTTTGGTTCATTGCCACTGTTGCCTTGGCTTTTGGCTAGCTTAGTTGGGGACATTTAATATTCAACAATATTATTGATCTGCCTTACTTACGGTGGACGATGACACAATTTTCTTCCAGAAACAAACTTTATTGTATTATTTTCATGTTATCACTTTGAAGCTGCTTTGATACAACTCAAAAAAATTAACTAGGAAGGTTGTGCACTTCACATAATATATTTATATTTAGTTTACTTATAATAATTGTGTTTTTTGACTTGAAATGTTTTTTTCTAGTAAGGTCCACGTAATTATGTCTCAACTTAACAGTACAAAATCCTAATGCGCTGCCTAAACACAAACCATTTATGTTAAGTGAAAAATTCTTACATCCAGAGGGTGGCAGTATAGTGCGAGCCAACTGCCATTTTGCCCGAACTTAATTTGATTGTGTTCAATCTGCTTAATTATATGTAACATTTAAGTTTACTTAATCCACTTGTGTTGGATTACATGATTGATTTGTGTTGCATTAACTAAAACTGGGCAGTGCTTGTTAGTGCCCAGCATGCTTTGCATATGGTTGAATTAAGAGAGAATAAATGTTAAAATTAAGTGTTATTTTATGTTTTTTTTGAGAAAATGACAAAAGGGGAAGACTTGATAGTGTGTAATTGTGTTTAATGTTCAATTACATTTGAATTATTAGCACCATTTAAATTACAGTGGGTTACCATTGTGGAGAAGAGTGGAGCATTTTGTTTGGCTGTGGACTGATTTTATTATTTGAACTGTTTGGTTGACTGAGCATGTTAATCTTAGCATTTAAGATGCTAATATGTGCTACTGCTAGCAAATAGCTAGCTGTAGTCTAACAATTTAATTATGTGTCACTAAAATAAATGAAATATTAATGAATGAATGAATGAATATAAAAAATACCCGAATCATGTCAGGAAGCCTTTAAAAAATCACTTTGAGACTACTTTAATAGGGTTGCTTAAAATGACTTAATTCCATGATGTTGAAGTTACATGAACAAATTATGTTGAAGTTAAATGAACAAATTATGTTGAAGTTACATAACAAATTATGTTTGTTTAACATAACCTAGTTATGTGGAACCTGTTGACGAAATAAAATTAATTAAAGCCAACATATCATTTTATTGTAAAAAGCGCTAAAGGTGACTTGACTTGACAGTGGAGCTGTCCCGTAAACACAGGCCTACACGATTTCATTAGACGACGACGAAATGTTTGACACGAAAATAGTACATTAAGAGTGAATTCGGACAGCTTTGATTTCTATAATTAATTTCAATAGCGAAAGTAGGCGCGAAACTGAAAACCAGAAGTGGAGTTAAAGACGAGTGTAAATTTCTGTCGCTGATCCGCTCCACTCGCGTAGCTCCAGTTTTTTTAAACTATCCATTCCTACTATTTCATTAGCAGAGACGAAAATGACTATTCTACCACTAATTTTGCCTGAAGCAACATAAAAATAAAATAAAAAAAAGTGTAATTACAGGAAAATGATTTGGTTTAATGTAAATCAAGGATTATTAAATCCTATCTTATATTATATATACTATCTTATCTTTTCCACAAAACAAAAAGTTCAAATAAAGTGTTAATAACATGTTTTATTTCACAATTGACAACAAAATGATCATACAAATAATTTTATATTAATTACAAAATTCACCCAAATAAAAATAAAATTATGATATATATACATTTTAGACACAATTGTTTAAAATTCAATTCATTAGGGTAACTCATACAGCAAGGGTAAAAAAAAAAAAAAAATTATTTTGTTCTGCTCTCCTATGGTATGGGCATGGTTATCTATTTTTTCAGCTGGGATTTCTTTAAAATTTTTTATAAATTCTGGCTTTGGATAACTGCAACACTGTGGGCAAAAAATCAGATCCACAATAAAACAGTAGCTTATCTTTCACCAAACACAGTACAGAACTGCACTCTCAAGTAAATGACAATCACACTGCTGAAATGATATTTTAAAAAGTAAGTCACATCAGGTTTTCTCTCAACAACTAAATTTTTTTACTTTTTCCTTCTTAAATACACTGAAATACCAATTACCTCACTAAGGGAGCACATATACAAGCACACAGTCTCAATGTGAAGCTGCCAATAGTTTAAAAAACTCAGTTTTACTACTTCAATGCAAACTTTTACATTTTCTATTTTTCACGTGCTTTCAAGTTCCTGCAATAGTTTTGACATGAGCAGCTTTATAGTTCCTTAATTATAAATCTGTCCTTCAATCAGTAAAATAAGGCAGGAGTATCTGAAAGAAACATTGTTATGAATAAACTTTGGTGCTTTGAAAAGAATAGTTTTGTGGCACAAGTCGGTGATGCTACATGTGGTTATAGTGTCAACATTCCCACCGGATAAACAGGCCACTCTTGCCCAATCAAATTATAATCCGACTTCAGTCTACAATCTCAATGGCACTGAGTATATGAAATAAGGCTAAACAAATAAATGCCTTTACTTTAGTACATCTGACCAGGACCGTTCTTTGTTTACATCAACAAAATCACAAAATCATTTTGCACAAGACAGTGTTCCACCATTCAATGTGTGTTTTTTTTTTGCAGTTCGCATTGATCCAACCACAACAATCAAGGATATTAAGAACAAATAAATTACAATTATACAAAACACACAAAAAAAGAAACATATTACAAAGTTGCATTTAAAAAAAATTCTAAAATTCTCTGCACATTTAAAAGCAAGATAAGTGCTGCTTTAACCATGCCTCTCTATAGTCTAAGCATTAGCGTAAGCTAACATGAGGTCTCGTTGTGTGTGTGTGTGTAGTGCCACCTAAAGGCATGATTTGTGCAATGACAGTCCTGTCAGATCTAAAACCTCACACATATTGCTCTATAATAATGAGCAGGAGTGTTTTTAATTCTGATAACGGTTGTAAAGACTCCAGCATGGAGATTTAGATCCTCCACTTAAAGGGTAAATTATTAACAGTGATCTTTATCCTCAGGGTTTCGGTCATGACGACCAAATCAAATCATACCCCAATTTTGTGAAATACAGTACTGATCACTGAGCACTTCCTGTCCATGGTCACTTAATTTACTATTACTAGTCAGTACAGAGAGTTTCCATTAAAATTCATCTCTAAGAAATTCAACTACAAAAAAATATTAAAGGGACAGTTCACCCAAAAATTAAATATCTGTCCTCAAATTGGCTACTGTTACAGTACTTTTATGAATTTATTTGTTGTTGTTTTTTGGAATTTGACAGCCACTGGTCACCATTCACTTTCATTGTACGGAGAATAGCAGCGTGAACATTTAACTAAACCTCTTCATTTGTGTTCCACAGAAGAAAGAGAATATTCATTTTTGGATGAATTGTCCCTGTGTACAGAATTAGGATGATACTGCTACAAGCTAATGAGGTAGCAGCTGTAGGTGTTAATGAGGCTAGCTTAATGCTAGTTTAAATAAATCTTTTTATGGTCTTTTTTTTCTCCATATTTTTAACCTTACTTGAGTAGTTCGTTAGCCTGAATGCCAGCCCGAACTCCGCCGACAACATTTTTTGGTCGGGAAGTTCGGTCTGGACTCGATCCATTGAGGAGTAATTATGATCGGTTCAGAAATCGTCGGGCCAATCAAATTGCCAGGGCGGGCTTTATACGATGATGGACAGATGATCTGCAGTTACGTAATCATCACGTTATCAAAGAGTGCTTGGGTTGAACTGGTTTCCCTCAAAGTTGACTGCAGCTGGAGAATTGAGATGTATAGATTCCGCTACTGCCTCTGTTGTAAAAGAAATCGACAGCGCATTAATTTTAAAAGACGAACAGAGAACTGCAATCAAGGCATTTTTTGTCTATCGGAAAGATGTGTTTGCCGTCCTTCCTACGGGATTCGGCAAAAGTTTAATTTATCAGCTGTCTCCGATGGTCACTAAGAAGATGGGACGCAATGAAAACACTGTGGTCGTTGTGTTTTCTCCTTTGTTCGCACTCATGGAGGACCAAGTAAAAGAAGCAACACATTATTTTACAACTTCTTCCAGCGTGCGTGCAGTTGAGTTCTATTGACAACTATGCGTAGCTCAACATACGTCACTTACTGCGTTGCTCTGATTGGTTGTAGGTCTATCCAATTGAGTGCAGAGTTTTTTTTTCCCTGGTTCGGTTAAGACACGCCTCATAATCAAAGCCCTATGGAGCAGTATCAGACTCACATTCTGACTAGAATATGAGTATGACGAAGTCAGGTTAGTAGTTCGTAATTGAGCAGAATATTTGCTCATATTTAATAGGTAATGTATACATTAAGTGCGGTCGATCAGCATTAGCATAAGATTAGATAAAGGGAAGCAGATCCAGTTCTTTTGAACTTAAACATAATGTGTTTCATACTCTCAAGTCATTGTCTAAAAACCATGCAGGAGTATTTGAGCATGAGGTTGCATGTATAAATATGTCATCCGTTTCAGACATCTGTAAACCTGTGACAACAGCCATCATAGAAATATCTTAGCACAGCTTGAGGTCTTCATGAGATGGAGTCAAAATGACTAGAACTTTGTTCTAGTCGACAAGCAGGTGTTGAGGGAATGGTCAGCAGGTTGAAAGTTTTTCCCCAAAAGTCTGGAAACAGTGGCGATGAGACTGGATTTGGTTGGAGCTGTAGTGGGAGAGCAGGAGTCGTCGTCTTCCTACATTTCTTTCTCCTTCTCACTCCTCACCTCTTTCTCACGGCTGGACTTCATGAAGTCACTTCTCATCAGGCGGTAAAACAGCACAATGTTCATGGCGGTCATGATGGCCAGACCCACGCTGCCGATGGTGTAGCTGGGCAGGGGGATGAGGTCACGATTCAGCACCAGCCAGCGGGTCATCCAGGCCAGAGTGTTGATGCGAAACACCACGTAGGTGCCCAGGTTTATCATGCTGTTGACACGGTAAAAAGTACTTTTGGCTAGGCTGGCCATGCGGAGCACTTGCCTCAGGTGCAGAAAGATCGAATTGATCTCAACCAACAGCGCGACCACTGAAAAACCCACATACCGACAGGTCAGCACCGAGATCCCGAAACAGGTGATCACCTGCAAACAAAAGAGATGAGATTGTTTTTATTAGGAATGGACTCAAATTTAGGCCAAGGAAAACTTTAAAGTCACCGTGAAATCAAAATTGACAATTCTTTTTTTATTTTATGGAATATTACAGTATTAATGTAATATTAATGTAAGGATTTATCTGTACATGTTTTTTTTTTAATACACATGCCCTATTTAATCTTTTTTTTTTTTTAAGATGTATATTAACTGGAAATATACACACAAATGTGAAAATATTCAAATGCACTAGGAGTAACAATACCTTCCCCCTTTTTCATAACAATTATCAAGAACATTAAAGGAAGAAAAAAAGCAAATAATAAAATAAAGTAACTAAAAACACAATCATATATGTATATGGGAGGGACAACCTGTCACTCACATGACATCACAGCAATAACAAACCACGACAATCTAACAATCCAATAAATTCCTGATGGACAAAATTAAGTCTCACCCTACATTTTGTTTTTGTTTGAAAAGCCATTTTACTCGGATATTAGTCACAATAACGAAGAAAAGACTTCATCCTCAACCAGTTTTTCCAGTTGTTCCAGTCTTACAATACATTGACAGAAAAAAGGTTGTGTTCACCTGTGAGGACATTCAAAGCAACATCAAGCAAAACATGAAGGCTGAGAAGCTTCTGTTGCTGAAGAACGTGCCACATTACCCGAAGCAAAAGCCTTTTATCCTTTGTTGTATATTCTGAAACAATTTTTTGTATGGTACAAATGTGCTAATATTAGCCAAAAGCCAGTTTGGGCTAGATTTATTTTGAGATCATTGTTAGTATTCCTTTTTCGTTTAAAGTCTTGTACTGAACACCACATTCATTCACATGCTGAGTGTTTTATCATCTATACTAGTGTTTCGAAGACCGTTTTGAGTGGGCCCCAGAGTGTGTAGTCAAAGAAACCACGACAAACATAATTCTAAATGTTTTTCTGATGCAAGACTTTTATTTTAAAAGAAGTGCACGAACGCTGTTGACTCTTCTGTCAGACGCAGTTTGTTTAATTCAACTGATTCGTTCAAAATGCAGGTTCAGATGCACATCTGTTCTGCTGTGTTTGTTTGGAACTATTTCCATTGGCGAAATAGAGCAAAAACATACTGTATTGACTAAGTTTTAGACTTTATGTCTAAAAATATCTAAAAAATAACTTTTTATTGAACTGTTATATAAAATAAAGATCACATTTGCAATCATGCTGATAGGATATTTGAGAAAAACAGCTCTCTTGCTAGTGTGATATTAGAAGAATTCATTAGAGGGACATTTTTGCTCCCAAATCTGAAATTGAGGCTTTTTTATTCATTTTGGTGGCAGTTTTGCCCCACACTCCTATTAATTTCCCACTACTAGATGACTGAAACATGACATATAACATACAATTTAAAGATTACTACATTCAATTTGATGAAACGAGAGCGAGAAATGGAAACCGCAGAGTGGATTAGAGAAAAAGTCATTACAGAATGCTTTTAGCATGGACTGAAATCCACTCCACTCATACTGTACTATGCCTGCTTGAGGGACACCTCAGCCCATGAGGGCAAAGTAGTTTGTAGCCAGCGCCTTGTGCGAGTCCCTGGTGTGTCTCAACCATTTTTGAGAAATAAATTTGCTTGGTTCAAATTCCTAAAAAATGCCTAATGACCATGGGGAAAATGTGGGTCCCATGGCCAAAGAACCACTGAGAACACTGATCTATGCAGCTGTACAATATTTTTAAAAAATATAATATATAATTCTTTATTTAATTTCAATTAAGCGTTTAATTTGTGGGTGCCCACTGTGCCCAAAAATATTTGGTTTAATTTGTGTGGCTGCCCATGAATTTCAAGGTTAGCGCATTTAGTGCAAAACCATCATATAATATCATTTTAAGGTTGTGTTTGACCCATTCTTTCATCTACAGAAAGTTTAAAGGCCAGTTAAGCTACACACAGACTAATGTGCTTAATTTCAGAAGCAGCTCTTTCGTCTTCTCAACACTAATCTGCTGCGAGGAGACAAGAAACAAATGAACATGTGTTCTGAATCATCTGATAACAGCAGGGAGAGGCTTAGCTGAGGACAAGGAGCACAAAGGCTCTGTTGATCAGTCCTAAACCTGACATGGCAACAGCCAAAGCGTTCAATCACAATGAGTGACACTAATCCAGCTGGAGTTCTACACTTTAAACAGATCCCAGTGATGACTTTTGCCAATATTACTACAAATAGAGTTTCATTCCCCATTAATTGTCTCTATAAGCATTTATAAGCATTCTTAAAGAGATGGTTTACCCAAAAATGAAAATTTTGTCATCATTTACTCACCCTCAAGTTTCTTTCCTCTGTTGAACACAAAATATGATATTTTGAAGAAAATGGGTAACTAAACATTTTCTGGTCCTCATTGACTTCCATAGTATTTTTTCCCTACTATAGAAGTCAATGGTTCCCCACAACTGTTTGGTTACCGACATTCTTCAAAATATCTTCTTTTGTGTTCAACAGAAGAAACAAATTCATACAGGTTTGGAACAACTTGAGGGTGAGTAAATGACGCCAATTTAAATTTGGGGGTAAAGATCCCTTTAAATAAAGAATACCAAGTCCTGAACCAAACCAACCATCTCTAAGAATAATCGAGCAAAAAAAACAAAGGTGAAATTTCTGACTGACTGTGTATGTGACATTGTTTTTAATTTAATGAAATAATGTGAATGATAAAAAAAAATACTATGGTACAATATAAAACTATTAACTTATACTCACTGAAAAAATATTGTTTTTTAAATAAATATATCTGATAACGGATCTTTTTTGGGGGTGGGGGGTTTGTTGTTAAATCGAGTTTTAAAAAATGTTTTAAATTTCCTTTTGGATGAAAGAGGATTGAAAAGGAAAGTTATCTTCCACTAGATGGCAGTCTATACCTATCATTACAAAACATTGTAAAATGCATGGATTAATCTGAACTAGTATGTCATCAAAAGCTCCTACTTAACACTTATTAATGCACAACAAATATTGAGCATTTAGATCCATGAAGTATTATAATTCTGAACTTCTGTAATTTATATAATTTTTTTTACGTTTAAAAAAACATGTACAAATCTGTTATCAAAACCGGTATGATGAGTCTTACATAGAGCACAAAGGTGCGGTTACATGACGTCCAATACTGAATTACATGACTGGGTGGTGTTCCCGTGACGCAACTCCTTTTGTAACAGAACATAAATTCCGCAGGATGAGTCTGTAATGCAACCGTTCACATGACACCCGCCTGGTTCTTGTGGTCAGGAATGTCACAGCAGTAAGGCTAGTAATGCTATTCACATTAGCACTGCTGCTTTGACACATGCTCTCTCTCAAAAGCCCATGGTGTGGGTTTGAAGCAGGCAAGTATAATAGCTGACTATCTAGCTATGTGGACTGTAAAGACTTTGAGTCTGCTTTACATTGTCTAACAAAACAGGTTTACAGTTAGACCACAGATTATAGTAAACAGTGATGGTTGGAACTTTATTTAAAGCAAATAAACAGAAAATATTAGCAATCTGCTGGTTTAGCAAGACCGCTAGCTCTGTAAACCTGATTCCTATCTGTAAAATGCTTCGCTGACTGCAGTGAAGGGCCCGTTTTACAAAGACGGATGATTACTAAATAAGATTTGTGTGACCTCAGTCTTATGACTGGGAGGATGTTGACCTTTGGTTATCACTTTGTCTTTCTCTCGGTGAGGTTAACTTGTCTTCTTACACAACGTTTGAGTTGGATAACTCTCTGAACATCACAAACAAACCTGTTATCTTCAGGAGACTATTTTTCTCCTAAAGGTGAGATGAACATCAGTCTACTATATGAAAGTAGTATAATACTATGTTGATGAACATTTCATATTAGTAAGGAATATGACAAGACCTGCCTTAAAGGGATAGTTCACTTTGAAATTCTTTTTTGATATGTTTTAGCTTACCTCAAGGGCATCCAAGATGTAGGCGTCTTTGTTTCCGCAGTAGTTTCAATTTTGATATTTTTAGGTCAAACCGTTCTTGTCTGTCAGTCATATAATGCAGGTCTATGGGGTCCACCTCAAAGAGCATGCACAGAGAAGTCCAAATTAAACATGATTTAAACATGGTCTGCGCAAGTGCCGGAAGTGAAAACTCACCACTCCCGGATGAGTTCACGCGAGCATACGTAATTGTTTTCTTTCACGGTGGTTTAAACATCCCGGATAAGCGCAAATTAGTACCATTTTAATTAGCCGTCTTACCTACAATCTCTGTTCTGTGTAAACAATGAGTGACGTACACGCGCGAGAGATCACTTCCGGCGCTTGCGCAGACCGAAGCGCCCGCGCCCTCAGATCACTTGGACGTGGCTGTGTTTACAAGAGGTAAAAACGATATAAATACTGTTCGTTTTTCAAACACAAACTGCTCGTTTCGTGTCTTAGGCCATCAATGTATACTTACATTTACGAGTCATTAAATCATGTTTAATTTGGACTTCTCTGTGCATGCTCTTTGGGGTGACCATAGACCTGCATTATATGACTGACAGACAAGAACGGTTTGACCTAAAAATATCAAAATTGAAACTACTGCGGAAACAAAGACACCGACATCTTGGAGGCCCTTGAAGTAAGCTAAAACATACCAAAAATTAATTTCAAAGTGAACTATCCCTTTAAACACAAAATTAGGTGTGTCGCCAGTCAAAGACATCAAAACAAACACTCACTATTTTACAATTTGTAATATTTGAACGGCGACCATAATAAAGAGATAAAACACTATAACACCCTTCTCAGCCATGAAAAGAACATAATCATTGACAGGAAAAGAGCAAAGTCTTCATGTCATATACATCACATAACATGTTGCAAGGTCATGGGGTTGATTCTCAAGGAACACACATATACTGATTTAATGTATAGTTTTACTGTAAATGTATAGCATACTTTTATTCACCAAGGATG